ACAGTTGAACATTTTGTAAAGTTATGGTCTATAGTTACAATTTCTTTTTTATTTTTCTTTTCTTTCTATTCTTGTTCTATTTACATAGGAGGGTATATTGATCATTTTAAATTAAAAAAATTGTGGAAAGGATGTTCAGTGCAAAAAAAATGAAGAAGGTAGAGACGTTTTGTGCCAAAAAATCAAAAGTATGGACTTTTTGCGTCAAAAACTTCAAAGTTAGGGACTTGATGCACCAAAATATCAAAGATAGGGACGTTTTCCACAAAAACCTTCAAAGATAGGAACGTTTTGCGCCAATTACTCATGTTTTAACTACACATCTTTATCATAATACTATTGCAAAGTATATTTTTTGAAAAAAAAAAGGGTTCAAACAAACCGTAATATATTATAGATTTCTATTAAAATTGACCATATTTAGATATGATAATTTTCCCGCCCCGCCCCGCCTCGTCCCCGTCCTCGAGGGACCCCGCCCCGAACGGGTTTGCGGGGAGGGGCGGGCCCCGTCCAGTGAAGAATTAAAAAAATATAATTATTTTAAACATTGTTTGTTTTGGACATTTTTTGTTATGAGTGCTTGTTTTGGATATTGATGTAATTAGTTTGAATATTATTTGTTTTGAATTTGTATTTTAATTAGAAATTTATTTTAAAAAAAACTAACAAACAAAATGAGGGAGGCCGTGCCCCGCCCCGCCTAATACGGGACAAGGCGAGGGGAATGGCGTGACGAGGCAGGGCACCTGAACCCTCTTAGTTGCCGTCACTAATCATATTTGCTGGTGTTTTTAAAAGTGTGCACTTTTCAAAACGCACGTTTAATATATGGCTGCTACATTTCTAAGTTCCCATACGGCACGCTAATCCATAGCTTCGAACGTTTCAAATCTCGCCAAAAATTTTCTTCCTTTCTCATTGTTCGCCGTCGGTGTGACCCCATAAATCTCTCTCTTCTGCATAATTTCATTTGGCTAAGCCCATAAAGAAAAGCTCTTTACCAATTAACGGACCATTTTTAGTTTTCTGTTACTTATATATCATAACCAAGATTGAAGCTGAGTGAAGATGGTGTTATTGTTGATGGTGGCGGATTCTGAATATAATATTATGAGATCCATATGATTCAATCTTATTCACCGGCAATCTGAAGAAAATGATCGTGGCCGATACAATAATCCTCTTGAGCTCATTAGTCTCTGCACTTCTCTGTCACGCCCAATTTTTGCCTTGTCTAGGTCGGCCTCTCTCTTTTAATCTTTTTCTTCCATTTCTCTATATTGAATTCTTCCTCTTTTTCATTATTTTTTTTAAATTTTCCCTCCCAATATTATGCCTATGTTTTCAATATTTATTCTTTCATGTTGTTTATCTTTAAAAAAGTTTGAACTCTGTGGCCTTTGAATCTTTTCCATATACTGTAAAGTGGTGTATTTCTATCATTGTTCTGAAAGATATTTCCTTTGATTAATCTGATTGGACAATGCAAATGCTCGTGCTTATGTATGCTTATGTGGTCTGGGCTTTTGGAAAGAGCTATGGGTTTTAAGGAAGCTGATTTTGGATATGCTCATATAATTGCTGAACTTCTTGAAATTGAAACGAAAAAATGATCAATTATTTGTTATTTGAAAAGAAAAATTCTTATAGGTGGGTATTCTGAACCTCGTCACGGTAATGCAGATTTATAACAAATGGGAATGTTAAGAGAGTTTGGCGACTGTTGTGCAAAAATCAGATTAGCATCAATTCAGAAGGGCAAGCTATGGAGCACTAGTTGGAACAGGGTTATGTTCTCGTCAATGTAGATTGAATTCGCAATATACTTTTCCTAACAGGAGACATCCTGAGAATGCTATGCAAGGAACCAGAAACGTTTTCTGCAATAGCTACTTCAAGCATTTTTCGTCCTCATATACAAGTAATCCTGTAGCATATCATCCCAAAGTTACGTGAAAGAGGTTATCATAGAGGGCTTTACACAATGGGAGATATTTATTACTCATTATTAAGGAATAAATCCCACGTCGGATAACTATTAAAATATAAAACACGATATAAAGGATTAGACTACTCCTCTTAACAACATTGATCTTTTAAGATGGAACCTCAAATCTTAATATGGCATTAGAGCCTATTAAACTCGGACGAGCAATTTAATCTAATTTAGACTAAAAAAATAAGCACATGGATTTCAAAATTGGGAGCCTCCGTCTAGCGGGGTAATGTTAATGAATAAACCCCACATCAGATAATTATCGAAATATGGACCAACATATGAGGGTTTTAGCTACTCCTCTTAACAATCTTAACCTTTTAAGATGGAACTTGAAGTCTTAATTGCTCAAGTAGTTAGCTTGGCACTGAACCATTCTTATATTGTTGTTCCTGGTATATTTGCCATAACCTGTGGAATCAAGGTAGCTTGCCCCAAATGGTGTTAGACACAGATATCTTCCAGCCATGGAAAAATTTTAACATGAGTGCTCAGGATGGGCATGCTTTCTTGACCTCGTTGATTCTTTCCATGTTGGAAGGGATTTTTTTCTGTAGCTGAATGCATTGTATTTGGCGGTTCTATTCACACCCACCATTGCAATGGCTCCATTTGCAAATTCTTTTGGACCTCAGTTTAGGAAATTGATGCTTCAGGCTGTTCATCAAACACTAGAAAGAGCAGGTCCAGCATTCATAAAATGGGGCCAATGGGCAGCCGCACGGCCAGATCTCTTTCCTAGAGACTTGTGCATTGAACTTGCAAAGCTTCAAGCAGCAGCACCTGAACATAAAATCCTACACTGCAATGGTTAAGATTGGATGAGATTGTCCAGCAGTTTGCGGTTTTTATGATGTCTCAAGCTGATCTTGCACGAGAAGCTGCCCCTTTGAGCTGCTTAATATATAATTTTTGCAGATCGAAGAACATTTCTTTCTCAAAGCCTGTATACCCGCTAGTACATCCTGTTGTTTTGGTGGAAACTTTTGAGCATGGTGAAATTGTTTCGCAATATGTTGATGATCTCCATGGAAATGAACAAATCAAAAGTGCTCTTGCACATATTGGAACCAATGCACTGCTGAAGATGCTCCTGGTAACACATTTAATCTTTTTCTTTTTTGGTTCACGCTTTCAATGTTTCTTTTGCCTTGAGAATTGGTAATAATATTCATGACAATTTCCTTTTACTTCTTTATATGGTGTATTATGCTAGGAGTGATTTTGGATTTTTTTCCATGTGACGAAAATTGCTATTGCAGCTTCACTGATTATAACAATTTGAATTAGCTGCAGCCCATTTTTTTCTTCCACCATGTTAAACATTTCTTATGGCATGTGAAAAGCTCCCGAGGCTATGCCTTGAGGTGCATCTCTCTTTAAGCCTTCTTTAAGCACTTCTAAGCTTACACCTTGACTTACTAAGACGCAGGCACAATAATGGATTTTATCAATTTTGTTATGTGCGATTTTTTCTTGTAAACTTCCTTTCATCATGAGTATTACTGCAATGACGAAAGAGGACGTAATCTCACATTGAGGCAAACCTCTATAAATCTTGCATATCTTTATATCTTTCTGCTCAATACATTGGCGAATGTTGAGAATCAGAAACCTTAATTTCATTTATTTGTGTTGAGAATTATTCCAACCTTACAGAGGTAAAATGTCTCGGCACCAAGTTGAGCCTTTTTAATCGTTGCTGCACTCAACAACTCAGTTGAACTGCCTGGGATTTTCTTTTTGCAGAGTAGTTTCATTTCACATCCTGTCTTTTATATAATACAGCGATATGCAGTCAATAAGATGCCGCTTCCTTCCTTTACTTGTTATTATGTAGATTCATCACTTAGAGCATACGAATAACTTAGACATTCTTCTGATGGAGAATACCTGATTTCTATCTGATTGACTCATTAGGTTGTGTTTTACAGTAACAAGATTGAAGTTATTATTAGGGGCTAACCTCTCGACTTGTAAACTATTTTTTTGAAGGAACATGGCGAGGAGATTCAACTTATGTTAACAAAATGCTTAATGCTTGATCAGGGCTTTGACTTAATTGCTAATGCCACTTGGAGATCATTTCCAATGCTTTTGCATTTATTTAGTTAGTATTTTAGGAGTCATTACCGCAGCATACTCAATACTGTTTGACCAATAAGTAAAAACTAAATTCCTCTGCTAGAATGAGATAACTGTGTTCCTATGAGAAACTATGGACTTCCTGTTTTCTGAGATTTTTTTTTCTTGTACTTGTGATGTTGACAATTTCATTCAAGCTGACATGCATCCTGGAAATATCCTTGTTCGTGTAGCTCAGAGCAGGCCTTCTCTTAAGCTGTTCTTCAAATCAAAGCCTCTGGTTGTATTCCTTGATGTAGGCATGATTGCTGAACTTTCTATGAATGATAGGATGAATTTATTAGACTTGTAGTGTTGCTAGTAGAGATGGCGAAACTGCAGCAGAGAGCACGGTAAGATTGTCAAAGAAACAGAACTGCCCAAAGCCAGAGGCCTTCATTCAGGTGAATTTGATCCACATCCACTTGTTCAAGAAACAGATAAAGGTTGTAGAAGATTCAGTCGAGTCTAGGAATAATTTCTGCTTTGCGATTTTGCTATGCTCTTTGCAAAGTTTTGTGGTATTCATTTTGATTTCTTTGCTTTAACAGGAAGTGAAAGAGTCATTTGATTTTTGGGGGACTGCAGAAGGTGATTTGGTCCATCCTTCTGAGTGCATACAGTCGTTACTTGAGCAAGTTAATCATCATACAATAAACATTGATGGCAATGTTTGCACTGAGATGGTGACAGTTCTAGTTCTTGAGGTATTCTTCTCATAATTTTTAGTAATTCTGATACATATGTGAATTGCAATATTCATGGTAGAGATTCTTAAAAATAGAAAGACTTCATGGTAAAGAAACGATAAACTGGTTAACCTTGTGAATTTAAGCTGCCAAAAAGTAAAATTTCAGTTCATTTTTTTTATTCTTCCTATAGCAATCTCAGCGACAGGAGCTGATAGTATATTACACATTGTATTTTATTCCTTTTAAGTGTCAAAATCACTCTAGCTGTAATCTACCTCTTAAATTCCTAAACATTGAAGTCCCTTTAAAGTTTAAAGACAGACCGAGGAGGCAGAAACCGGCCGGTCCATTTCTCTACGCTACTTACTTTCAGTCATTTCTGGTTCAATCAACAAGAAGATGCATAAACCGCCGACGATTTTTCAGAATGTCTAAAACCGAGACATGCTAACACAGCTTTTACAACATTCCTAAGAACCTGCCCTCTTTTAGGAATCAAACGCGGCGGCACTGTGGTGGTGCACGGTGGCTGCCGTTGGAAGCGAATGGCGGCGGTAACAGTCATGTTTACGTGTGACTGATTACTAATGGGCTGGAAAAATATGAAGAAAATTAATTGGATCACAAAAAAATTGGAGATTGAATATTTTGGTTGGAGTTTAGAGAGCCGACGTGGATGTATATATTTGGGTGAGTTGGGAACGCGTTAACCGAGTAAACCGTGTTGAGTCCGTATAGATATATGGCTTTAATTTTAATTTATAAGCATGACAATGACTAATTCTTCTCTTTTCATTTCGTTAAAGGTTAGACCCAGTCTAAAATCCTCTAAATTCTAAGTCTCCGCGGCCTAAATCAAGAGCTTAAACCTATTTTCGACTAAAAAAAATTATCTTCTCCATCTCTAAATCAAGAGAGTAATGTTATTCATCCCCAGTGGGGATGAAAACACAGTTTATGTGTCATTAAATGATAGGTTAAATTAAATGTGAAATTGAATGACTTATTTAATTTCACCTATCATTTAATGTCACATTATCGCCACATAGACTGTGTTTTCATTCCCAGTGGGGATGAATAGCATTATTCAAATCAAAATTATGACCTATAATTAGCCCAATTAATCTCATATCTACAGGAGACATGTTACCACATCACCTATGGACAACATATCTCTTGTCCATAGTGGGTGAGACATCAGTTTTACTTATTCGTATGGGTGAAAAGTCGATAAAAATTGCGAGTCTCATGAAATATATGATTAAAATTAATGATTAATTTTGACTTACACTTTTATCAACTTTTTAAGTTACATCAAAGAGGGGCTTAGTGTTCATTGGATTGGGCTCATAATAATCTATAAAAGAGCTAAAGGTTTATGGTCTTACGAGATGTGACGAGAGAGATTCACAAGAGAAATTAAAATTTACATGATTATGACCGTTGTTACAATTTTAGCTCAACTAGCACTATTTAAAGGATGAAAATTATAATATATGTACAAGAATCATAATGTCGATGTATTAAAAATGATGTGTTGCCACCTAAATAATTGAAAAACAAAAAAAATAATTCTCACTTAATTCTCTCGTTTCATTTCCATCCAAGATTAAACACTTCAATAGTCGCGTATACTTTTTGTTATGTTCATGGCGTTGGCTTAAAACTTTCCATTACCGATAATCCACAACCAACCAAGAGCAGTACCAGAAAAAATGCCACCAAGAAGAAATAGAACCAGTAGATTACCCAACGCATTCTGCTCCGGGGCCTACAAATGAAGAAATTCATACATATTAAGGTTGTAACATAGAAAATAACGATTTGTGATTTGTGATTTCAACTTACCTTGTAACCTTTTGGGGCTGCTGTAAGGATGCAGACACTCAGGTAGCCATTTGTAATTCCTAGGAAGGATACGAGAAATATCATCCATCCCTCGTTTCCATACTTTGAGGTAAAATAGAAAGCAGGGATAAGCAAGAAACGAGATAGGGATGCAATCAAGAGGCCCTTTCTCGAAGCTAACTTTACGCTATCAATGAGAGGAATGTATCTTGAAATAAGATCCCAGACGTTGTATATTGCTACCAGGACAACTGCGTACCTGTTTGTGAAAAGAATTCTTGAATAACCAATAGGTAATTCAAGAGCAGAAGTGTTTCAAACACGTACCAAGAGCCTAGCAGGTTGGATCCAGTGTTTTCATATAAGAATCCGGGAATAATTGATAGCGTGAGCACGTATATCAAGTAAAGGTCGAACGCATAATCAAGATTCTGAAATAACAACTGCTTATTGCTCAGCCGCTCATGATTTGCATCGTCAGCCTGTAATAACAAAACCTGTCCTAGAAGTTTGAGATATCTAGTCATTGAGAATCAACTATTTCAAGATCCAGAAACTTTATTTACCCTTTCGCTCTTTTTAATGTGGATGCCAGCAGCAACCAGATCAGAAGAAACTGTTTCCGATCCTTCTGCAGCAGCCCTTGAGCGGAAGTATTTCACTATTGGTATTTTGGGGAAGATCGACGCATACAGGAGGACACAGAGAAACTCAAAGAATATTGAGATAGCCAGATATAACACTGCAAAAAACATAATTATAAACTGAAACAAGTTACAGATAGATTTTTGGAATTCACAACCAACAACTAAACCAAGATATTAGAGGAAACATTGATTGTAAAGTAATTTTGTGTTACTTACCAACTCCCATACGAAGGCCATTATCAAATTTACCAAAGGCTGCTTTTGTAATTAATCTCATTGCAGAAGTCAGAGCCCCTGATGCAGCCAAACCAGCAAAGAATGACTGCAAGTTCATACAAGGGTAAGCATAAATCTAGAGATCCGATTCAAGAATCTTTAAAAAATGCAATGTAAATGAGAAAGGAATAGAAAAAACTTACTTGGATGAATTCTGGACACATGAAAGATAAATCTCCAACCATTCCACCTTGAACAAGGCCATCTGCAACTCCAAAACAAGCAACA